ATTATTGAAGATACGATACCCAAATTGACGATTGCTCGCAACTATTATCTGACTATGAACTCATATTCTAATAATAGCTTTTCTTGCTCCTCGTCTGAACGAGCCTCTAATATGTAGTGAGGAGAAAGGATCTTTTGTTGTACGTTCGTGACGGACATTCTTTATTGCTTTGAGCCCCAAGAACCTTGCAGGCATCTGCTCCTCCCCATGTCATAACTACAATGCAAAAAAAAAGCGTGCCACTTTCGAGCCTGTGGCATCTAAATCTATCCCAAAACGCCGTGGCTAAAGGACGACATGTCACATCTATCCCATTGCGTCCTCAACCCATAGTAGTGAACATCCCCCGATGGCTAGCTCGCCAGACATATTTCACCAACAAGTATACAATTAATGACAACACCGCCCCAATGCCAACCAGCTGTATCGGAAGGAGCATGAGGGTAGCCAGGAGAACCATACCGTAGGTTCGTGTCTTCTCGATCCATAGGTTCTGAGCATTCCGGCGTTCGTCTGCTTCGCTCCGCCATTTACTGCCCATATCTCCATGATCTCCGAGGAAATCTTGCTCGTCATCTTCGTTGAGGCCGTCATCGTACTCATCAGCAACTTCTGTGTCGTCGTCGTCTTCCTCATCATCACTGTCGGCTGGTCAGGAGTAGTTGAAACCGCCGCCCTGGTAGTTTGATCTTTGGCCACCGCCAAAGTTGAACTGCTGGCCTCCGCCAGGGAATCCTCCGCCACCGGAAGAGAATCGAGCACCGCCAGGGAACCCGCCGCCGCCGCCGCCGCGGAAACCTCCACCGCCGAATCCACCCTGGCCGCCCATCATGCTGAAGAGGATCTCAGGGTCGATGCCGCCCATGCCACCCATGCCGCCACCCATGCCACCGAAATCGGATGGATCCATGAGATCGTCACCATTGTCATAGGCAGCTCGTTTCCTACTCATCCTGTTAGTCGTTGCTTGCCATATAGTGTTGGAATTTGATCAGTGGGTCACTTACTGAGGATCGCTGAGCGTCTCGTACGCCTCTTGCAGGTCCTTGAACATGGCCTCGGCCTTTTCATCCCCAGGGTTCTTGTCAGGGTGGTATTTGACAGCCAGCTTGCGATAGGCCTTCTTGATTTCGTTGTCTCCAGCATCCTTCTCAAGCCCCATGATCTTGTAGTAGTCCTTTCTCTGGCTCTTCTTGAGTTCAAGCTCAGCCTTGCGAATCTCCTTCATGACCTCACGATCTTCAGGCTCAAGCTCGGCAATGGACTTCCACTCCTTAATAGAGTCCTCCCATCTGCCTGCCTGTCCCAAAGCGGTAGCCTTGGTCTTGCGAGCTTTGGTGTAGGTAGGGTCCAAGAAGGCTGCTCTGTCCGCATCGGCAATTGCGTCATCATATTCCTTCAGCTTAAGGTGGCATCGGGCACGGTTCTGCAGGAGCTTTGCGTTCATGCTCTTGTTGGTTGCATCAACATCGAGAGCTAATGAGTACTTGTCAATAGCAGCCTGGAACCGGCCAGCCTTGAACTCTGCATTGCCTTCCTCCTTCATGCGGTCTAGCTTCTGTACGATTCTAAGCCACTTGACTGCGTCCCGGAAGTCAGGGTCACAGCTGATGGCCATTCGGAATGCCTTGATGGCCTGCTCATTCTCGCCCAGGGCGTAGAGGACTCGGCCTCGAAGCACCAGAGCCTCTGGGTCTTGGCTGTTGCTTCGGAGGAGAGCCATGGCAATGTTCTGGGCCTCGGCGAGGGAAGTTTCCCGTCCCATTTTCAGGTGTGCCTCTGCACGCATCAGCTGCCACTTTCGAGGCCTGCCGACGCCGGGTCCGAGCCCTCGCTCGGCCTGCTCCAACGCATGGAGGACCATTGACATGGCGGATCCTCGCTCTAGGGTTGCCCTGGCAGACGAGATGTGATTTAGCATCTCCTTTGTTGGGGCCACATCCTTCATGGATGGGTAAGGGCTGATGCGTCCAAAGGTAGTCATTGCCTCCTCTGGTCGGCCCAGGCCTGTGTAGATACGGGCCAAGCGTAGCAGAATCTTGGGGTTGTGCGGGTCTAGATCAGCTGCACGGCTGCAGTCCTCCAAGGCAGCCTCGTAGGAGCCGCTGGACATGTAAGCAGCGGCACGATTGCTCAGGTATGTCGGGGAATCGGGGAACAGATCCACGGCTGCAAGTCACAGAAAATGTCAGATTCTTGCCATGTAAAACAAAACCACAGTGGAAGGTTGGGGAAAGAGCAAAACATTAGTGCGCACCTTTGCTGTACTGCTCGATGGCCTTGCTATAGTTCTTCTCCTTGAAGTGCCTATTACCGGCCGCCTTGTATGACTCGGCATCGTCCTCAGCCGTAGGCACGGGACTCCCAGGGTTGGATCTGTGTGGAGGAGGAGCTGGTGCCTCCTCATGGCTGGTTCCATTGGGGATGGGCACAGAAAAATTTGCCTGAGCGGAGGGTTGAGGAGTGCTCGGAGTGGCACCGTTGACGGGCTCGCGATCCACGTCCATCGAGTTGCTGTTTCTGCCGTTGTTACCACTCATGGCTGACTGAGCAAGTATGGACAGGCGCTTTCGCTCCTCTGGTGGTAAATTTAAGGGATGGGCGTCGACGTCGATTTTGTTTCGTCGCGAAGACAAAGTCCGGAACGGACGAGACGACTTGCTGCTGGTGCTGGTCGTCGCCTCGGGAACGGTGGAATGGCGGGAAGAGGACGAGGAGGAGGACTTTTTGGACGGCCGGGGCTGCGGCTTTGTTGGCGACGAGGGCTCCGAGCGGTTCTGCTGGGGGGCTTGGAGGTCGTCAACAAAGTGGTTGGACTTTTTTGTTGGTGACGGTTTCTTGCTGCCGCTACCGAAGAACTTCATTGGAGCCGGGCACTTGCACCACTGTACACTGTAATGGCAAAGCGAGGAGTTCTGTCCCGAAACAAGGTTATGCCGGATACTGGCTGAGTCAATGCCCTAAACGGGTTCCAGGCTTGGAAGCAGTCACCCAAGTCTAAAAAGCAGCACGGCCAAGGGACACAAAATTTTGGTGGGAGGGGTGTGGATGAGGGGGGGCGGACCACCTCCTCGCTCGGGCTTGAAGGGGCTACTAGACTCAGTAGCGCTGAAGTCTGCTGGTCTTTTTCGCGTCGAGTAGGTAAGCAGGTTCGGGGATATCGCCTTGGGAGGGTGGTAGTGAATTAGGTTGCGAAAACGGGGATGCGATGCAGGCGGGCTAAATTAAAGGGAGCAAGGAGTCGGCGATACAACAGACGCAATCGGCCAATTGTGCATCGCACCTCGGAGCAAGTCGATGAATTGGCGAGAGACGGAAGCAAGGTAATGTAGCAGGAATGGCAGAGAAGGTGGGAGAGGAGGAAAGGAAAGAGAGAGAGGGCGCAAGCGGACCAGGTCAGCACAGCCCGTGATATTTCAGTTCAGCTGCACAACTTGGCTAGCTGCCTGGCTGGCTGGCAATTAATTACTGGGCTGGCTGGGCGGCTCGATCAGATCAGCTACGTATCCATGATGTACATCTGTACAGCACAGCGTGTCAGAAAATTATGAACAAGACTGCACGGATGTGCTATTGGATCCATGGAAATCAGTCTCGCGAGCCCAGGATTGGATCTCCCGTGCCCAAGTATCCGCTACTCCGGGAGCGGCCCGCCAACTACTACCACCTAGAGCCACCAGTCTATGGGCGCAGCACGGGCGTCTGGCAGGTCATGAGCGCTGGAAAATCCCCCACTCGGGAGCCCAGCCTTCGCGTTGCAGGGCCACGCATAACGAACCAATGGGGAAATTGGACCCTGAGTTCCGGGCGTCTGCCACTGGCCCAGCCTGCCCAATTTCCCTGCCCAGCACATTGCGCTGGCGACTGGAGGGCCAGGATACTGTGATGGGCCTCGCCGTGGCCACTGAGACGTGCAGGCCGGACACGCCATGTGCATGCAAAGGAGGTTGGCACACCCAGATGGCCCGCTGGCTGTCCCGCCAAGCCGTTTGGTGTCTTCGGCCCTCGCCTTAGTGCAAACCGTTCTAACGAGGGTTTGCACGCAGCGAATTTAGATTCTAGAAGGTTCAGTGGGGCGCTGGGAAAGTGCCTGCAGGAGTCAGGGATTGGGTCGTCAGAGTTCAGACTTCTCCACGCGAATCAGCCTCGCTAGTATCTGTGATAAAACATGGCGCTTCCGTTTCGATCCTAGCACTCCTGCCGCCCTGCTCAGCCATCTCCTGCTATGTATGTCAGTAAACAAAACGGACCTACCTAACTCCCACCGTCAAGATTCTCCGTTTTCGTATTGCATTGAGGCTGTCCGTTACTCTACAAATATGGGTTCAACAGCAGCAATTAACGAAATTTTATAAATGTTTGGGCGCCTAAATTGTCGCCGGAGAATCCCATGTGCTTTAAAGTTGTTACGAGACTGGCTTGCCTACCCTCCTAGTTTTCAAAGTGCAGATTGAATACATGTAGAGATCTTATAAAAAGACCAACAACTTTCCAAACAACGGGGAGTCTGGCACACCCCTGAGCAAAAACCAAGGCATTCCATCCATTCTTTTCTTTCCAAGATAGTCCAATCTGAAGAAGCCCGCGTCATTGCAGTCTGACAAATGTTCTTCGCGATTCCATCATCCCACCTCGCCCAAGACCTCCTTACACCCCCAAGGATGACCTTGCCTGGGAGAGAAGTGACGAAACTGCTGATGCGTGGGAAATTTTACTTCATAAAAATGAAATTTATCGGGCGATTGCTGCATTGATCCTGAAGTACCACCCAGGCGATGCGATAGAGCTACACCAACCAATTCGAGGAGGTTACAACATTGTCTATCGCCTCGAATACAAAGATGGATTCTCGGCTGTGATGAGAGTTCCTATTAAAGGTACGAATTAAAATTCTATTGGACTCATATATTCCAGGTTTTCATTCTGACGAGTGGTGGAAATAAAACTATACAGGTCCAGTGAAGTTTCCGGAGGAAAAAGTCAAGTACGAGGTGGCCACGATGCGATTCATTGCGACCAATACGTCCATCCCCGTACCTAAGATATATTTTGCAGGGACAGCTGATGAAAACCCGACTGGTTTGGGGCCGTTCATAATCATGGAGTATGTTCAACACAAATGCACCATGTCTGAGGCTCTGAAGGATCTATCATTGGGACCAGATGAGCCCCATAACTCTACCCCAATATTCCGGATGAATAACTCATATTTCTCTACCGGGTATCGTCAAATGGCCAACATTCTACTCCAGCTCTCACAATTCAAATTTGACCAAATCGGTTCGCTAGTTCAAGATAAACAAGGTAATTTCTCTGCTTCTGGGCGACCTCTCATACAAAATATGAACCCCATCATCGAATTCACTGATGCTCCTCCACAACTACTTCCCTCAAAACCGTACAGCAACTCTGGAGACTGGTACAAAGCCTTTGCAGACATGCATCTTCTACAATACACCTTTCAACATGATGATGCGGTGAAGGAAAATGATGGTGAACAGAACGTCTATGACACCTATGTTGGGAGACAACTTTTCCGAAATATTGCTGCAGACGGACGGCTGGCCACCGGGCTTGGAGCCCAAAAGGGGAAGGCTGAATATGTCTAGTACGATTTTAGACTGTATTCGGAAGATCTACGTCCTTCAAACGTCCTCATTGACGAGAACCTCAAGGTCGTCGCAGACTTGGACTGGGAGTTTGCTTATGCCGCTCCAGCTCAATTCTCGTTCGACCCTCCCTGGTGGCTGCTTCTCAAGAGCCCAGAGTGCTATCCAGGGGCATATCTTCCTTTCTTAAAGGCGTATGAGCCAAAACTTGAGGTATTCTTAAGCATTCTAAGAGAAGAAGAAGAAGACGAAGAAGGGAGCCGCCGTAGACCACAGCCAAGAGTCGCTGGATGCCAATCCCCTGGCGTCAAGATAGCGAATCCAACTGAGGAGTCACTGTCCTCTCGCATGCGCAAGAGCTGGGAGACCAAGACCTGGATGATCAATTACGCGGCCAGAAACAGTTGAAACTTCGGATTTCTCTTCTGGCGGTTCCTGGACCCCGAATTCTTTGGTCCTGGAAACGAGTCTGCCGACCATCACGCGAGACTCTCGCTTCTGAGCGAGCCACAACGGCGCATGATGGGAGAATTTGTGGCGATTAAGCTGAAAGAATCAAATGTGCGCGAGTTGATTGATTGGGATACACATGACGCGGAAACACATCTCCAGAGATTTTTGATCTAGTTGAGAGTTGTCCATGAAGCGTCAATCGACTCAATATGCCTTTATCTGAGTGGTAACTACCTAGTTAAATTGCCTATCCAGCTTTTAATGCTCTATCTGTACTCTAGAGTTAGATAGAATCTGATAAATTTATACAGATGATCAGGTTATTGCTTTCTGGTTTGCATGTTGTAGGAAGAGCATAACATCCTAGGAAGTTTGGAGGTTGCCTAACAAAACCACCCCCCGAGCAGTACCGTATTTTACGGTTAACGTTCGAACACATCATTGTTGCATAATCTTGCGTAGATGACCTCAATCCCAACGGAGCAGGGTTGGAGCTCAGTCTAAAAGCGGCGTTGCTTAGGGAGCCTCCCCACAACGGCTTTATGTGATAGAATAAGGGCACTCACTTAGTCTTGGCTAGCGGGTTAATTTTTCCCTGTATTACCAAGCTTACCGGGGAGAAGGAACTCGATAGGAAGCCGATATTTCGCTAGCACACGGACACTCAAGATATGTACCTATCCATCCGTTTACGCAGTCAGCCAACCAGCCACCGCGAGAAACAGGATATTTTCCTCGGGGTTCCGAAGCCGGAAGGACGAAACGCGGCACGTGGGGATTGCTTTTTCTGGTGACCAACGTTCACGTCATTTGTTTCCAAGTGGAGCATTTGTTAAAACGACCAAATCTCCGGGACCGCGTCTTGTAAATTTCAAATTTATCCCCTGTCAGAGGATATCACTCCCAGTCAACACTATGGAACGACCAAATTTAGAACCCATGGAGGAGGTGGCTGGAAAGCAATCCATCAGTAATTACCTTCATCTTAACTTGATATGCAAATAACCGTAACTTACTCAAAGCTATCAATACGGAGTAGATAGTGTTTAATAGGAACCGAGGTAGGTAAACCAAACTGTTTTGTGATTAGAGGAGATAGAAAGGTTCATGTATCCTATTAGATAGTTTTATCTTGATTGAGTGTTGTGGATGGTGTTAGCCGGCCGGTTGCTTGGAGTTTTTGGCTTAACATGAGGAATCGCCCAGGATTGGTTCCTGCAATAGTTATAATATCATGTGGACCCTGAAGCCATGCATAAATTTAATGAATATTATAATAGCCCTGCCCGCAGCTTTCTAATTCGAGATCTAGCCTTCCGAGTTCTCTTGCGAAGACCCGCCCGAGCCTCCATTCGATCCCATGATCGAACTGACGAATTCTTGATATCTAAACACATCACCCCGTTTCGCGCCAAGCTGGGCGTTCATGTTCTTGTTGAACGCTCGTCTCCCCGTGAAGCCGTTTATCACCTTGTCGACCTCTGCTGCCGTTAGAGGACGCTCTCCAGGCTCGGGGGCCGTGTTTAGCAGAGCGTCTCTCAAATCAGCCAGATCAACCTGCCCGCTGTCGTCCTCGTCAAACGCAGAGAAGGCAGACATGAGCTCGCTGCTTGCGGACAGTGCTGCCAATTTGTCCGCCAACGAGTTTAGGAACGCCGCCAACGCGATAGTCTGCGGTTGTGACGGCGGGAAAAAGTGTGAGACGTCTGAGGGGTTCGAAGGTAGTCCTGCAGATGTCTGGTTAGCAAGGTGGCACGCATTGTTGACCTTATCCTCTCCCGTACCTAATTGAAGTAGCATATCTGCCACGTCTTCGCGGTTCACAATGCCGTCACAGTCGCGATCGAGGATCTGAAAGCTATCTCTCAACATCGTCACCTGCGCTGGTTGAAGCTGGGACAACGAGTTTCCATGTCCAAGAGGCTGGCTTGGAGGTGTGTGCGCCACCGAGGAACGCTGGAAGGGTGATCCCATTTCTCGGACGGGCGTGGTAGGCCCTCTAGGTGTCCAGTTGTTCTCGCGGTTACTGCTTGTGGGTGTCGTAGGTATCGCAAATCGTGAGGTCCCGTTCAGCGGACCGGCCGCACCTTTCGTTGGTGACGTAGTTGGCGTGGTTTGACGGAGAGGAGACGGTGATGCTGGTGACTCTGCTCGTCGGAAAGGAGAACTTCGAGTTGGAGGAGAGCCATAGCCCAGGGCTGAAGGCTTGAACGCCGATGGCATTGACTGTAGTCACCGTCGACGGCGTCAGTGCATCGACCATATCTCGCAGGGTTCCAGCGTCTTTGATCCTGTACGTACCATTGTTGCTAGGGCGCTGGGGCTCGAGGAAGCACAAGTCTTTGAAGCAAGAAGGGTGGCCTTTCCTTATTCTTGGTCAATCCGGTGTATATTAATGATTCAACTAAGAGGTGGCTTGCGAGAAAGCTGCGCTTTGCTTGATTAATTACCAGTTTCGAAAGGTCGTTATCGATTGGAGGTGGGCATACGTCGTACATGCATGGATGTCATTAGGGATCTTGGAAGTAAACAATCAACTCGCAACCACGACAACATTAGCCTTGCCTGGCGGCTAAGTGGGGCGCGTGGCTGAAGCGGCGGCCCTGTATGGCGGTGCGGCTTACTAAGGATGTACTGCACATCGAATTGCGACGCTGAGTCTTTGTTTAACATGCGTCATGGAAGCAGTGTTCTTGGCTGACACCCATTAACTGGAACATATTCACTGTTAACTCTGTGTATCATTTTCATGTTTTCTCCATTTTTTGCTATTTGTTTCCATACTTCTCTGCATGCAGAAGATAATGCCAGTGGTGTTCACTTGCAGGTAGTCAGCGCATGGCCAATCGGAGGTCAACTACAAGGGAGTCGAGCTATTACCCCTGGCCTAAGAGTGGTCCGCTTCTGGAAGGGTGTGTGGATACAATTCAGGGACTACCGTCCCAAGCGGTCGAATGCCTTCCCATAAAGGGGCGGAGAAGTATGGGGATGTGTTTCAGCACCATTTTCTGGGTGATCGGAACTTGGGTTTCCATATCACCTGCCCCCAAGAGCGGTTGAGGCATAGATTTCTTGATTCACCGCTCTCCAGACAGGCTGACGATACCGACGTGGTATCATATGGGTTGGGCTGGTGAATAACAGGTGCCGGATCAGATGATGGTTGGCTGCATATCAATGCCTATCCTAGTGCTTAGCTATATCGCCTGCATGAAAGCTGTGTGGTGCTGCACCAATACTATTGGATCGAGGGCCAGAATGCAGCCAAAGCACCGGGGCATACATAGTAATACCTGCGATTTGTAACCGTCTACCTACCGAATGCGACCATTGTGTATGCGCACTGGCTTGCTGGCTGGCGAGTGAAGTGGCGTCGCTGGCTGGCTGCAGGCATTAGCCACAGCGACATTGGCGGATCAAGCTGCTTGATACGGGGCCACCCCCCCGCTCCCACCAGAGACATACATTGAGACAAGACATACCGATACATTACACTACATACACACTCCCAACGCATGCAAGGAGTGCGCAGCTCAGTCCTCGGCTAAGCACATATTCTGCAGCTTCGCGGCCAGAGCGTCCGTGGCTCAGTGAGGAGCCATTATGGCGACCCTCCTGCCGCACATTGCACGAACCCAGAGCAACACCAGTCAGCTCAGCGGCTCCAATGGTTCTGGAGCCCCCCCTTCGACCACCCGACGAACCTCGCTGTCCTCATTCCCGCCCTCACGCTCGCCCTCACAGATGTCGCGCCCGCCAAAGTCCCCACAGCCGCCAATCCATGAGTCGGACCTCACATCGGAGCTCAGCCAGAAGCTCAATTCGTCCTCCCCAGCGAACCCATCCTCCCAGCACTCGTCGCTCTCTGCGCCATTGCGGTCGGATGCAGGCACCTCTCGAAAGCTGCGCTCACAATACCCCCGTGGGGCCACCGAGAACCATGTGGAATATATTCTGGTTGCGTCCTTTGACATTGACCGCGGGCCGGTCATGGAGCATCAGTACCCCGTCGCAATCACCGGCGACGAGAACATGCTTGCGGAGCTGATGCTGCCCGACCAGGCCCATGCGCGCAATCAGGACTGGACCATTTTTTTCCTGCACAAGGAAAGCAATGAAGAGGAGGAGGAGAAAGAGAGACAAGCCAAGGAGGAGCGGAGGCGGAGGCGGAGGAGAAGGCGCAATAAATTGGCAGGGATCATTGACGAGGAGGACGAGGACGACCTGGACGGAGACAAGGACGAAGACGCTGACGAGGACCTCGACGACGATGACGACGAGTCCACCGATAGTGAGCCCGAGGGGGGGGAAGGCCCCCCGCTGATTTATGTTCTGAACTTGGTCAACACAAAGCATGACAAGACGGTGAAACGAGGCGCCATTGTGAAATCCATGGCCATCTGTACCCGGCATCCCTTTCTGCACATATACAAGGTATGTGATACTGTGGTCCTCTGCACTTCTGGTGTAAGCTTGCATAACAAGAAACTAATCTGTGTAGCCATTGCTGCTTTTGGCCCTGGAGGAATACCTCAAGGCCCCTGTCCCCGAAACCTTGTCGGCTCTGTACGATTCTGTCAATGCCATGGACCTGTCCCTGATGCCCAGGCTTAGTCTTCTGGAAAGGCACCTGCTGCAAGCCAGTGACAATCGGGATCTGTTCGTTGAGAAGTTCGAGCAGATGATTCAGATGCGCATGGCCGAGGATGAGAACGAGGCAGCACCGGCATCAGCCGTGGAAGGAAGCTTCAGTCCCACGAAACGCGCAGGTATCTCTAGAACCGGAACCAGGGCTCAAGTGGAAGGCGGGCAAACCGTGTATTCCGTTCCGCGGGACACGCACGAGTTTGAGACCAAGATTGTCTATAAGGGTATTCCAGTACCTGTTAAAGTGCCCACTGCCGTCATGCCTGAGACTGTGGGTGACTTTTCACTCATCAAGTTGATCCAAAATTTCTCCGATACGCATACGAAGAATCCTCTGCCATTCCCGCTACATGCGCATCTAACGACGAACGGCACTCACACTCACCCGATTATTGTACTGGTGAATGGCCTGTTAACGCAGAAGAGAATTATTTTTCTTGGGTACAATATGCCTTCAGGGGACGTGGCTGAGGCTGTACTCGCAGCCTGTGCTCTGGCATCAGGTGGTCTCTTGCGGGGCTTTACGCGTCACGCATTCCCCTACACCGATTTGACCAAGATTGACGATCTCCTCAAGGTCCCTGGTTTCATTGCCGGTGTCACTAATCCGGCCTTCGAGCATCACTCTGAGTGGTGGGATATTCTCTGTGATCTACCAAGCGGGCGTGTGAAGATCAGCCCCAAGATCGAGCCGGCTCCTGCCACCGAGGGATTGGTCTATTTCCAGCAACAGAACCCTTCACTGGCCACTCTCGCCAGCGGCACTTCCAACAACAGCCAGGATCTTACGGGGGACTCTGCCTTTCTAAATGACATCCTTCGCAGCATAGCAGCTCGGCACGGAGAGCGTGTCATTCGTGCAAAGTGGCGCCAGTGGATTATGAAGCTGACGAGGATCGCCGCTCAGTTCGAGGAGAGCGTCTATGGAGCAAGTGCCCTTTACATTGGCAGCGAGGACCGGGAGTTGACACTTCCCGGTGCAAGCGGACATGGATACGTCTGGTCTGACGATGCAGCAAAGCATAAGGAGCTAGCTGGCAACGTGACAAGGATCGAGGGATGGCGTAACACCCGAAGCTACTACAGCTATATCCAGGTAAGGATGATGAATGACCCCTATTCGGGAAAGACCTGTGGTTAATGGCTCACATTTTTGTACAGGACCTGGCCCAGCTCTACACCATCCGCCCCCTCAAGGGACTTGATGTTGCGCACATGCACGACCGTCTACGTCTGCAGCGCCTCTCACCGACGCAAAGTCGCGACATCTATCTGACACTCTCTAAACACATCCATTCTTACGACGAGATATGTCTTCTTCTCAGCGTCGCCCCCGAAAACCATGCCGGGCTCTTTTATATCGCCCTCGGCCTGTTCCACAAGGACCCCGAAGTCCGGATGAAGACTGTGGAGCTTCTGGAGCGCATCAGCGAGCACGAGGCCGGCCAGCACTGGTGGAGAGGCCTCAGCCGCTTCGAGAAGCTCGCCTCGCAACGCATCCGCCGCGAGACCGATGCAGCAGAGGCGCGAGAAAAACTGGCAAAGGAAGTCATGTCACCCCAACCAGATGTCGAGACTAGGCTTTCCTAGAATGGAAGAATTCACACAGCCATTAATTTACAACTACATCACCCGATATAGACACACAGCCAACGAAGAAAACGAGAAGAGAGACGAAGACTGCAAGCGTATCATACATAATGGTTTATTTTTACGAGAGGAAGACCACGACATCAATAACCATCTGGGCGGCGTTTTATATATCCTGTTTCACCTTCCCTTCCCGCTGCTCCTCTCCTTTCCCAATCTTCATCACGCGAGCACCGCCGACTAGGTTCGTTTTGAGGATCAGCCTGGGTGTTCTCCGGTGAATATATCTTCTGTATATTGATGGAAATTTTTCATAACTTTGGTAGGCGAGAAAGCGTGTTTGTCAATGGGAGGGAGACTTTGTCATCATTTTGAATTCTCATTCCTTTTGGCCGCGACTCGGAGTCGCTTATACAAGTTAGTTTTATTTTAGAGCAAGGAAGAGGCAACCAACCCCCCGAATTTCTCAGTCATTATGTTTTTCATTTCTATCCCCCGCCCTCGCGCGCTGATTGATATCCTTGGGTAATTTCCTTACAGAAGAAATTTGGCGTGATGCTTCAGATGGTCGGCTCCGAAGGTGGAGATGAAGAAGTAGGAGTGATCGTAGCCCTAATTGAGATAGAACCGGTTAGTCTTGATATTTCCACAACAGGGGAAAGAAAAGGGAAAGCAAAGTGAAGAACGTTGCGATTAGGGGGAGAGCTGGACTGACATCCTGGTAGCGAACCTCGAGGCCACCGACGCCAGCGTCCTTGGCAGCCTTCTCAAGGTTCTCGGGCAGCAGCTGAGACTGCTTGTAGAAGTTATCACCGGTACCCTGCGCAGAAAAAAAAGCACAGGTTAGTTCAAATACGGCCAATTCTTTGATGCGGGGCGCAACGTACCACGTCCACGAGCGCATTGAGGGGCCCCTTCCAGCCCTTGACCAGCTCCGAGGCGTCGTGCTTCTTCCACTCCTCCTTGTTCTCGCCCAGGTACCCGCCGAAGGCCTTCTGCCCCCACGGCGCGTTGACGGGGTTGGAGATGGGCGCCCAGGCGCTCACGCTCTTGTACTTGCCGGGGTTCTTGAGGTACAGCGTCAGGGCGCCGTGCCCGCCCATGGAGTGGCCGGAGATGGAGACGCGGCTCGGGTCGACCTCCTTGAACTCGTTGAAGACGACGGAGGGCAACTCCTTGGAGACGTAGCTCTCCATCTTGTAGTTCTTGCTCCAGGGCTCCTTGGTGGCGTCGATGTAGAAGCCGGCGCCGCTGCCGAAGTCGTAGGCGTCGTGCTCGCCGGGGAGGTCGGTGCCGCGCGGGGAGGTGTCCGGGTAGAGGAGGGCGATGCCGAGGGGACCCGCGTGGGCGGTCAGGAAGCCCTTCTCGGTGACGTTCTCGGGGGTGCAGGTCAGGCCGGACAGGTAGATGAGGAGGGGCGCGGGCTTGGAGGCGGAGGCGCCGGGGGGGATGAAGAGGTTGAAGTTCATGGGGGTGCCGGTCGTGGCGGACTGGTGGGTGAGCTTGAGGAGGCGGCCCCCGAAGGTGGTGATGGTGGCGTTGGTGGTGACGGCGGCCATGTTGGATTGCTCTTTGGGTCTCCTTCCGTCTGTTTGGTATATAGGAGTTATGCGCCAGGAATGAAAACCAAGTTTCTACGGGAGAGGGGAGACGGTTACGTTATGTAGGGGCAGCATATCGAGCACCCGGTTAGGCCAGGCACTATGCAATGATGAGGTAGCTATCCATTAAACAAGCTGCGAATCGAGTCTCCGAGGTGGAGATGGATGAGGGGAAATGTTACCCCGCAATCCCGGACCATCTCCGAGATACCACCGCATCGAGACTGTACATACAAACCACAACCAAGCACAATTACCTTGCTTAGCAGTTCTAGCTATGCGATTTGTTTCATTATAGTGTTTGGCTAAATCTATATTATGTATTCTAGCAAAGGTCCCTACACGTAATTATCCCAAGATGCGGCTGCAAGAGTCTTATTTGCAAGTCCAATACACGAGGGGCGCATGTAGCCGACTGCGGAGGCGCTTACGCTAACCGTTTAGTTTCTGTCCCTCTCTAGGGACCAGCAGGAGATATGCACGCAATCCGTTCCCGAGGCTCCAAAGAAATCGTTTGAGAGTGGAAATAGCGTGATATCAAACACCGTTCTCGTTCGTCTCTAGATGTGGACAACCCAGACAACTGTAATAAATACAACTGCTCGATGAGATCAGGAACTGGGAAGATATCAGATCTTGGATCTTCTAAGGATAATGTCGATGCTCAGAGATGCGCCTGACACTAGATGTCGGACTAGCCTAGGCACCATTTCTTAACTCAAGGGTTGGTGGCTACCTAGGTAAGCATACGTCGTATGGGACAGATGAATAGCCACACCAGCTTAGAGTAGTTGAAGGCATCAATATTTGGAAGAACATGAGATAATGAATATTTGAGATTGTGAGAATAATGTTGTAATGGCGTCATGAGGACCGAAAGACAACCAAGGAGTTGCTTTAGCATCCATCGCGCAGTAGTTGAGCTGATCTTACTTCCCCTGTATCTCTCACGAGAATATCTCTGTCTGATTTTATTTTAGTTTTTCGTTTGGTAGACGAGCCCGTGGCTGAGGCGTTTGAGCTTGGATTTGGCATAGACTGAAAGGTTTACTAGTTGTCAGCTGGCCTTCAGTGGCGAGCTGGGATTTTGGAGCCAGTACTACCTCTGATGCTTGACTGCTATTCAGGGAAAAGTAAAGGCAGCTTCCTGGAGAAACTTCCAAGTGGGTTACGCCCGCAGTTCATGTGGTGGCGATTCTGCGTTCTACGTTACCGCTTAATTCGCCTCCCTCCCTCATAGTTCAGTGTCGGGCGCAATCGAGAGTTTCACTCCCGGGAACCGTTGCAAGCCACAGGAGTTATCCCAAATGGCCTGGCTTTGTTCTTTTCGCCTGACTTCTAAAGCCGAAGTAAAATAACGAGCTTGCAACACATCAACCCTTGGTCAGACTTGGGACAGCTGAGCACAATGCCGAGGATCCTCCCTCTCAAAGTCATCACGCGGTTCCGACCTTCTCGTTTCCCTGATACTGGTGAAGAGGGATGTCGATCAAATTGTATACAGGTTGATATGCTGAGGCAGGAAGCTAACATTAACTTTTAGGTAGATAACTCTTCCACGCCGAGGGGGGTTTCAAAGTCTATCCACCTTGTGACGTAGAAAACCTGGAATAGAAGAGGCTGTGCTCTGTGAATAAAACCTAAACTGTGGGACAAGTTAGGAGGTTTCAACTCTTAGGCAGAAATCATACGTGTCCGAAGAATCACTCGTGTCCAGAAAAGATGTAAAGCCTCAGCCATCTTCCAAAAGCTCCTTGTTTTTCTTCTTCCTCTCTTACCATCACTTATCATTCCAATCATTCCAATTATCATCATTTGCTATCATTTGGTCTTCCGATTTTCTATTATTGTATCATCGAACCCTTTCATTGTATTCGTTGTCCATTACACTACTCAATGATGGAATTGACTGATGTTAACAACTCCGCTGGCATTTCTTCTCAGGGTGCCTCGGGACTTGACAGCTGATGTCACCTCAGTCAAGCAAGACAGCGCAAGCTTGACTACTGAAATCACATCCGTCAAACAAGAAGTGACAAAATTGAGCAATGGACTCACTTCCCTTGAGAACAATCTCAGCACCAAGGTTACTGGACTCGAAGGATGACTCAGCTCCTACTTTGATTCTCGGTAAGTAATCCATCTTTTGCCTTTTACTTGAGTTCTCAGCTAATCAAAGAAGGGAGAAAACAAACGTCGCAGAATAATCAACTCCTTATCGTTCCGTACCAACAAAGACGCGATCCTCTGTCCCTTGGTTAATGTTCTCTCTGGTGAGGAAATCCGTGGCTTCCCGAAAACGATTGAGGGCCTGGAAAGCGACTGGAATAAAAAACATGACACACCAGAGCCCCTTTGGATAAACACTCATCATGCTTATCATTGGGCTAATTGTCTTGGTGTTGTGTCGACATCCAACACTCGAGGCTTTGGTGTGCCATGTTTTATTTCAGTCGCTTGCCTCCTACGAACAATTGATGGTAAATTGAATGATAACTGGGATTCTCCTGCTGTTCTTTGCTAAGATCTCTGCTCTCTCAGCACACCCCGAGACTGCGATTCTCCAACAACTCCGATGCAGCGCATGCGGAAACACTGTCTGGGTGTTGCGAGAGCGCCTATCCGAGAGTTAGGAAAGGTGGTAAAGGCAGACTTGGGATTTTTTCTTTTTAAAAGGTTAAAGTTTTCGACAGAGAGGACGCAAACCTTGGCCTAAAGATGCTTTGGCTTAAAGGAAATCCCTAAAAGAGAGCTCATGAATTTTCTCTCGGACCTGCTTTGAGCCTGTGAGAAACTTGATGAGCTATCTTTCAGGAATTTCCTGGGAACTGGCGACTTTGAGAAAGCACAGGTCCCGGAGGAGGAGTGGGGGCGAGGCAAAACAATTTGATTAATCCGTTAGAAGGCGTATGGTTGATCATGTTTTTAAAGTGTATTCAAAGAGGGTGTAAATTGATGATCACTCTTTATCGTAGCTATAGGTTTTGTCCGGTTATGTACCTTGTTCCAGAGCAGTCATGATTATCCGACTGCTCTGGTGCTGGAGTCCAAACCGGTGACCGCTCATCTAGATAATTAGTATATCCAAATGATCTCCATTTGGAAAATAAAAGTTCCTCCTGGAAACCTATAGAACCATCATCCCACGTCCGTCTATCCCATCACTTACAAGGCGATGTGAGCCAAGCCTTCTGGCTGCGCAGAGAGTAAGTCCATTTCCCCCTTTACCTTCTTGAACTTTCACAAGATGGCGTTATCATACTTTTTGAAAACGAGCCTGTAATTTGGTGTGTTATGTGCTAGTTCAGGCTTGCATGTGACATGCTTCGTAAAACATTCGTTGGGGAAATCTAGTTGTTTCACCGAGAAATAACTTTAGACTAACGCAGAGTATAATGAAAATGGTTTATCCCGTACCAGGCTTCTTTGACTAGTCGAATCTATTACTCTTGAGGTAGGTATTTACTTTTACGAGCTGAAGTTTGGCGTCATCTTTCTACTGGTAAGTTCGGTGGCAAAGCAAAGCAAAGTACAGTAGAAGGCGAGTGATATGTAGCTCTTGCTACCACAGATCAGTTATAAAAGCTACTCTTGGTCCTCCATTTCTCAGTTGAAATCTCAACCTGTATCACACACACACACACCTTGGTAGCAGCCCCAAGCTATAACCTACCCTGCTATTACCCATCACCCTTGGCTCAAACGCATCTTCGCAGCAGCCCATATCATCAACATCTACCCTGCTAACACCTCCCGTCGTTGGCTTGAGGAAACACACCATGGCTAGGTTCCAGGCTGACCCTTCCTCTGAGAGTTCCTCTGTGAATGGTGATGCAACTCCACGCACTCCTCCCACTCCATGTCCACAGGTACTGGGCAATGGGGCCTACTGCGGCATGAGCATGCTCTGCACTCGGTGCGTAGAAAGTCGTGAATTGCCTGACTCCAACTCCAATACCAAGTCTGGTCTCTTTGGCCAGACTAAGAGTGACAAGCCTGACTCCAGCTCCAATGTTACATCTGGTCTCTTTGGCTCCAACTCCAATACCAAGTCTCGTCTCTTTGGCCTGACTAAGATTGACAGGCCTGACTCCAAATCGGATGCCCCTGCTGCCCGATCTGAGGCTTCTCCATGCACCGGAGACATTCCTCTAAGTGAGCGGGAATGGACCTTCTGCACTAAGTGTTACTCGCATGACTGCCCTAATGCCATTACCACTGTCGGCCCTCCGCTCTGCCCTACGTGTCGCAAACCTGGCTGTCTCGGCGCTACAAGAAAGCCTGACTCTATGTTGAACCCCCACTGGAAGTTCAAGAGTGATTATGTGCCCAAGTCTGGGTCTCTATTCACGTCTGACTCGCCCAATTCCGATGGCTTGCCCAAGGGTGATAACCCTGACTTCAAAGCCCTCAACGCCAAATGTGATGATCTTTGCGCCGGTGTCGATGCCCTTGGAGCCAATTTCGATGCCCTTCGCGCCGAAGTGGAGGGCCTACATGTTTACTTGAAGTCCGAATTCAAGAGTATGGACTCCAAATTTGATGCTTTTATCCGCAATGCGGATGATGTTGTCGAGAAATTAAAGGCTCTGGAGCTATCTGGAATTTAGTGTATATGTTACCTGAATACACTATCTCAAGTTTGATAACTCCCAAAAGGAGAACACTGCCGACCCTCCCTTCTGCCGCTACAACACATGGGAACTCGGGCAACTGACGCAAGATGGGCCCTACGAAGAAGAGCTTCATCTCCAACCCTCTTCATGATGGGCCCTCTGCCATGGTCAAAATGGAGGAAATGGAGGAAAGGAAAGGAAAGGAAATGGAAAGGAAGGGAAAGGACCAGAAACCCCCTAAAAAAAACCCCAAAAAAAAACCCCAAAAAACAGCAGCAGCAGCAATATCACCACCCCTCCCCAGTCACCAAAAGGAAAGAAGAAGAAGCCCCCCTTTAGATAGCATTAGTTAGGCAACTCAAGCAAAATTATTCCCCCAACTATCAGTTCACCTCATCTAAGCTTAAAAATTTGTTCAAATTCACAGGCAACGTATGTAACTATGTAGTGAGATTTAATGTAGGGATTGATCACTAAAGCGATCCAACAAATTACCACAGTGAGGTCGTGGAGGCCAACACTTTATATATTACTTCCCCGGGCAGTTCGTTCAACAAAAGCCCCTGTGGTGCAGTGGTAAGCGCGCTCCGCGCTGCCTTCTCACAATGTACTCACATTGAAGTCCTACCAGGCATACAGGACCCCTCCACCAGGTTGACCTTGGGCGGGGGGTGATCTTGCCTCTGGTTGGTATTTCTTCAGTGTGAGTACATGAGAAGGTGCGCGTGGAGAGACCCTGGTTCGAATCCGGGCAGGTGTGTTATTTTTTTCTTTTTTCTTTCTTTTTGGCTTAAGCATCTGTGAGTGTTCAAGTTGACCCTATTGGCAACCCGAGCGCCGTCAACACATTGTGCAATGTCCATCATCCCCAAACAAACTGTCAACTGGATATATTATTTTGACGTACCTTTCCTCCAGTATTCAGTATCATAGGGAGTCACGACGCTGACAGCAAGCCCTTCGATAACTGAAGACCGTTATGTGGATTCCAACCACACAGCTATCCGCCATCCTGGATGGCTGGTCTGCGCTTAGGCGACCTCTACTAGGCGAGTCAGGCAGAACAAACGTCTCAATTACAATTCAAGCCTGAGTCTTTCTTGGGAAACAATTCATGTGAAGTTTGAGGATCAACTTGTGGTATGTTGCTTGCACGCAGACCAGTCACTTTCACTAGTATCTCAGAATGCATAGGGCATCTTAGTTGCTCCAGAAACTTGCCATTGAACAGGGCTCAAGTGAATACGCGATGTACACACGCCTTCTCATTATGATGTAAATTATAAGAGCCTCACCTTGCTCCTATCTCCACTCGTCATCCAATGGTAGTTGACTTCTGCAAGTCCCACTCTCCGATATATGTCCTTGTCCAACCTGGTGAGAACCAGAGCGTACGCCAATATCGGCCTCTGGTAATCCCCCAAATCTACTGCATCGACCCCAGGTCTACTAAGCTCCTGTCTCGCCGCAGCCATGGCTTCATCTTTGAGCGTCGAGAGGTGGGCGCAGAATAAATCCCCGACGGGGTGGGTGCCGTCATCAAACGACACAAACCCGACGAGTTTCTTGCTCTCATTGTACACCTCCTGGCAGTTTGTGATAGCCGCGAGAGGGGTCGGTATCGTCTTTGTTCTCGGGTCAAAGTCAAAAGGGGACGCCTTTGCCAATTCCTGCCTTGACCGTTGTTCGGTCCCGTAGCTCGATATCGCAGTTGATATACTCTGCATCTTGCGGAGAGTAACGTCCAACGTTAGCGAGGCGGGCTCTGTAAACGGCACGGGAGCTGTCAGGCTGGGCACGTCTGCCTCAACAAGATGGAACTCTGGCTCTGGAAGGCGTCGAGGGGTCCCTGCTTTACGTGCGGCCCTCGGTTCTCTGACGAAGGATACCGGTCCCTTGTAAGAGATCCAAGCCCAAGAAGGCAGGTTGAGTTTGTGCAGATACTCCAGACTCTCCCCTCTCCGAGAGATCCACGCAAGGTCCATGTGCAAAGTCTGCTCCCAGAGCCCGCAGAAGTTGCGCCCGTTGAGCTGGGGGCTCTGTGGATGCATCTTCTTCTTGTTCACAAGCCCGGCAATGGCAGCGAGCCTGTCTGAGTCGAATGTTAGTTGGCATTTACTGAAATTTGCTGCAATAGTGAGCCATGGTGAATCGTCGTGCTGCTCGTCCGGTTTATTATTGTTGAATACCTGCCGCCATATTTCGCCGTTGAGCCCTCCATCAGCTTCGAAGGAGCTCCTCTCAGGGAATAGATCGACTTGTGAATGTCTGGTTGTTTTATATATGCAGCTCATCCAGGTAAAGTACCGACAGACCCAGTCTTCGCCACATATGTCATGAGTATCCTCGCAGTATATGTGATGCCTAGTAAAGTGAATGGTTCGAGGGGCCAGGAGCCGTTCTTGCAAGACCCAACCTCGGGTATTCAAGTGCCCTCTGTCGACATCCACCGCATAGGACCGCGGAATTGTGAGATAGGCCTGGGGTGTCGTTTCATTCAGTGTTTCCTGCATCGATGATTGAATATCATCCTCTAGAGAGTCCCAAGCTGTTGTCATGATTTCGTCAATCATATTGGACATGGCGCCATCTTTGTCCGAGGTATCGCGGTTTTGGCCATGCTGCCTTCCACCAAGCTGTGTGTCTGAAGGCTCGTCGCTCTTTGAATCATTATTTGAAGAGCTTGGCAACTTTCTAAGAGTGTTTCCATCACGGCTGATGTTGCCCAATGTACCCTCATTCGAGCCGTAGCCATCTGGTACGTCTTCCTGCGGCATAGCGAGCGCGGTACGGTTCCCAAGATGTTCTCCAGATTCTAGCTGTATCCCAAAGTGCCCTGAGCGCCCCAAAGACAGAAACTCTTTCATCTTTTCTTTCAGAACCAGCCGGCCTTCTTCTGTCTTCGTCATATGATTGTCTCCCAGCAAGCCCTCAATGCCCGATAGCGATTTTGGCGCTTTCAGGTGCGGCACTCGTACGGATGGATACTCACGGGGAGGGAAAAAGCCTTCCGTCGGATCTTTGCTGTCTGTTATGGCCAGACGGCACACACAATTCCAGTAGACGTCGGACATGCGTCCAGCCTCGACCCTCCAGTCTTCGGCGTCGTCCTGGATGATGCACAGAGCATCGATCCAGAGATAGCGAATACCCATGGCCCTGGTAATTTTGATAGCCTGAGCGAACACCACTGGTAGAAGCTTAAACTGGATACAATCCAATCTCTCGTAGTAATTGTCTTTCAAAGTGCGGGTATCTCTGTATCCGCCCCAACTGTAGCTCAAAGTGATATATCTCCCATGCCGTCCTGACGTTTCCAGTAGGCACAGATCCGACTCTAAGAACTCCACATCGTCCCCTCTTGGCTCTCCCAGATCAAGGACCCTCGTTGGCAACGGTGAGTCCTTTGGCCCTTTATCTCCGTGCGGCTCCCGTGGCTCGTGTTTATTTAACCAAGCCCCCAAGCGGCTCGTGATATCCTGATCGCTGCCTCTCGGCCTCAGTGGCTGGGGGCTATCGAGAGTATCATTGTGAAGTATGAGTCTACCTAGGTGGGATGCAAAGGCCTTGACTCCAGGGACCAGCGAATAAAGTACTGTTCCAATCACCAGGGTGCTGAAGCCGTCAGTCGGTTTACGGTCTTCAACTTTCAGAATGATACGTGTCGGCTTTGCCACAAAGAGTTCTTCAAGGGCTGTTATTCGAGCAAAGGCATCCATGGCCTCTCTGGCATCTGTGAAGCGAACCTGACGCTGAGCGTGAAATGTAACGGCTGTGCAGATCTGTGTTTCCATTAGGCTACAGAGGGGGCAGCTCCGAGCAGAACGGATCAAATCTTCCAGGTCGGCTGAGTGCTGATATCCCATATCTCCCTGTAGAGAATCCATACTCATGCCCTGGCAGCTGTCACAGAGTGGCTCCTGATGGGCATCTTTAGGCAAGCTGGACGTCGGGATGGCGAAGCGTTCTCCGTCTGAGGTTTCTTGCATTTCAAATCCGAAACGCTGTGCGGCTCTTCTCACACCCGGATACCGGAATTTTGTAACGAGGTCATCAACGGTGAGATCCATCCTGTCGCCTTGAATCAGCCTAGCAAATGCTTGGCTAAAGAGCGACAAATTCAGATGGGCGCTCGAAGGTCGAGGAGGTAAAATCAACAGACTGAAGACAACTTCCAGACCAGGGACCCGACCCAGGTTTGCATCTCACTCATACAGAGGCTAGAACATGAAGTAATGGGGTGTTGGCAAGGCCCCTGCAAGCTGATGCGCCTAGTTTTCCTGCTGATGCCCCCAGGCGACTGACATAAAACATGGCACACCCAGAACATCCAGCGTTGAATTTCAACACAATATTAACACAATATAAAAGCAATAACCAGTAATAAGTACAATAACAGCTGAATAATATAGAACAATACCTAACTATTGACCTTCTTATCATGCGTTTAGCTTTGTGGCTAAAGAAGTGAGGTCCCTGACTTGTGTGAAGAGCTCTGGTGTGCCATGTTTTATGTCACTCGCTTTGGCCCCATCCAGCCCCAAAATGATGTGCAGCTTACAATCCTCCACCGTCTGTCTCCTCACCAGAGACACAAGTGTCAAACTGAAGTTCCCGCGGATACGGATATGCCCAGAATTGGCAGACCATGACAGAATGAGCCAATAGTCCCAGTACATGGCCCGATACAGCACCAATACCACCCAGAGAGTCCGTAGCCACAGATGCCTTGGCTCCCTTGGGAATGGGTAACGCCCAAATCCGTCTCCACCGCATCGACTGCTGACGACGACGCCGGTAGTCAGCAGGATGTTGAGCCAGACGTTGAGCCAGATGCTGAGCCAGATGCTGAGCCAGAATCACATTCTGATGCCGCGTCTCAGACCACCAACCTGGAGGAGGAGCTAGAAGAGATTCTACAAGGTGACCTCCCAGCTTGGTTTCGAGATCACTGTGTCCAGAGCTACGAGCAGCTCTGTGCATCGACCATCCCCCTGGTCATTGGAAATGCTGAAGGCTGCGATGACATGAGCCAAGCGGCACCTGGCAGATACCAGATCGACCCCGTGCTCTATGGGAGCCTCGGCAGTCTAATAGACGCAAAAGCGTCGGCATTGGTGAATGGAGAGGCACCTGAAGTAGGAAGTTCTACCTTCGCCCACGATGCCTCAATTCTTAGAGTGGCCGTTCACGCACATGACCACTCTGGGGAGGAATTCCTGGCGGCCGTCCTTCGGCAATTCGCCAAGGACCATGGAGCCGACATTCTCACACTGCGCCACCAAGACATGAGCGAGCTGTATGACATGTTCTTCCTTGAGCGGGCCCAGATGGAAACGGACCGCGGCTCGAGACGGCAGGAGAGCAAAGATGACGAAGTCGAGGGTAAAGACGGCGACGGCGGCAGTGCCACAGGCAGCACACCCGACTCAAGCTTTTCTGAAACAGCCAGCAAGCTTCTCTTTGCAAAGCTCCTCACTGCGATCGAGGCACCAACACCAGAGACGGACGCAGCATCTTGCGGATCGGAACGAAAAACGCGTCCCCTAATCGTGGAGATACCAGATCTCCCGGGAATCTGTGCCATGGACCGTTTCAAGGAGACTCTAACCCAATTGCAGGAGGCTGTCAAGACAGCCAATTCTCCCCGGTCGAGGGTCCTTGTTGTCGGACTTGACAGCTGGGAAATTGCGGTCCGCAGCGACGTGTATCGTGATTCCATGGAATGTCTCCTTGACGATGACCCGACTCAATTTGGCTACTATGCCCCATACGGAACAACTCCTGACGAGTCATTGCTGTCGATGCTGGGTTCCAATCCTCTTCGGCCAGTTCTTCCCTTGCTTCCAGCGCACACAAAGGCGCAGCGTTCGCTGTTCGCAAAACATGGCGCCAATAAGCAACGAGCACGCAACATTCGTGCACTCCAGCAGAAGATTCGCAGTCGTGCCAGCAGCTGTGGGGACGAAAAACTTTTGGAACCGTACAGCTCTTGGGATCTTCCAGAAGAAAGCCAGTGCTTCAAGATCCTGAGCCATTCCGAGCTGAAGCCCTCGACTGTTGAGCTTGCAGCAGCCGCGATTTCTACAAACGTGACCATTGATCACATCCTCAAGGTGTTCCAGGGGTTGGGGGCACTCCGAGATCAAATCAAACCTATCAAAGAGGAAGAGAAGTCCAGGTATTCGCAACTTCATCCAGAGGCCCAGAAAGCCATCGCGGAGATAAACCAGGATCTAGGCAAATACCAATGGGAGAGTGTTCTCTTGGATCAGATAGTTAGCCCAGGTCAGTGAAACCCCATGCGAGTGACAGCAAAGCAAATACCAGGCTAGAAGATCAGCTAACTTTGAGCAGACGATGTCAACCAGGGGTGGTCCGCCATTGAGATAGAGGAAGATCTAAAGCAGGCCATAACCCAGATGCTCGACCTGGCCAGCTCCAACCCCGACCAACAAGCCGGCATCCTCCGCCACTCCCGAATCAACGGCGTCCTCCTCTACGGCCCCCCAGGAACCGGCAAGACGCACCTCGCCCGCGTGCTGGCCCACGAGTACGGCGCCGTCATGATCCACGTCTCGGCCGCCGAGCTCGAGAACAAGTACGTCGGCGAGACGGAGAAGGCCATCAAGGGCCTCTTCAACCTCGCCGCCATGGTCTACCCCAGCATCATCTTCATCGACGAGGCCGACTCGCTCTTCCGCAAGCGCCAGCCCGACGACTACGACTGGACGCGCAGCCGGCTCAACACGCTGCTCGCCCAGACGGACGGGCTCATCAAGAACAGGCGGCAGCCCTTCCTGCTCATCGCCACCAACCACCCGGGCGACCTCGACGAGGCCATCCTGCGGCGGGTGCCCTCGAGGCTGTACATCGGCCTGCCGTCCGCCTCGGCGCGGGAGAGCATGCTGAGCATCTTCCTGCGAGAGGAGGAGCTCGACCCGGAGCTGCGGCTGCGCGACATCGCGGCTAGGACGACGGGCTTCACCGGCTCCGACCTGCATACTGTTTGCGTACAGGCAGCGCTGATCGGTCAGGCCGAGCAGAGGAAACATGGAGGGGAGCAAACCAAGAGAGTCTTGAAGCATGCCCATTTCGAAGAGGCCCTGGGGAGATGCGGACCCACGGTCTCAGACAGCGCCGTGGAAGCCATCAGGGAATTCGCGGAAAAATTCGACCCCAGCGCTGCATCTCGCCTGGGATCCTCACGCAAGAGTCGTTCCGTCGGAGCTGCGCCTTCCAAACATGTGCCGCCGAAGAGATCGAGAGGTATTCCCCCGAGCGACGTCCCGCCTGTGCTGAAAAACGTGCAACCGCCGACGAATGGAGAGGGGATAAACGGCTACGAGGAATGGAAGACGAGTGAAATGTATCCATATGTAACGGAGGAGTTGTGCCAGAAGTGGTGGAGTGGCGAGTCAAGTTAAGACATACACAAGCCAGGTCTTTGATATTAACTAGAGTGCTGCAAGGGAACCTCGACAGAATTATTGTGGCAGTCAGTCACATTATAATGCCTCCTATTGTCCAATAATAGGTAGACAATATTGGCTAATAACTACTCAATAATACATCATTATTAACTACCTATAATCTACCAATATCGCGGTGAGTGTTGGACAGTTGAGATTGAAACACCTGGCACCCACTTGAAGTATATATGGAGACTAGACAATTTCACTACTTTTTTTTTCTCCTTCATAGAGAACTTGATATAATAAGAAAAGAAATTCTTGGACCTGGAGACTTTTGCGTTCCTCAACTTTGATTACATCCAGAAGGTCCTCCAACTGAAACCGCAGACCCATCTCCTTCTTCATCAAACGATTGCTCACTCTCTCCCCGTATCTGCAACAAAGACACAGGGTCAATTACGCAGTCCAAACTCAAATGATGGATTGCGTCTCCGTGAGACAAAATCTCGCAATCAAGTAGCTGAAGCCTCACTTGCAACTCCTCTCTCGCAAAGCGGGCCACCACCTTCTTCCACCTCTGAATTATATCACGCGAAAACTCGAACTCCCAGGTTCCCCGCCAAGTTATAGAAGAGTCGTTTTGACGATACATGAACGCACAAGCTTCCCCTTTCAAACCGCTCCAGATGTTCATCGTCTCCAGTTTGGGCATGAGAAGCGCGACCGCTCCAGCATCTCGTAGCAAATGCGAAATTTCTTGAGAATCGGACTCGCGGTCCATCAGACGTGACGTGAGAGAGAGCGATCGCAGCTCATGCCATTTCCAGGTCTTCTTGGCCCCGTCTATGAAATGCCGGGCCTCGGCCATAAATGCGACAGATAGGTATTCGAGGTCGAGGCTCCTCGCTGCGAAGCCCTCGGCGACCTCTCGAGACGGCTTCCTTACGCGATCTAGGTTCCACGAGCCGATATAGCTTTGCCCGGTTGGGAAGAACGCAGTATAAGTGTGTTCGGGTTCCTGAAATACAGATTGTAGCGTCTCGTTAAAGTCCTCAAATACGGATAGTTTTCTGAGTTGCGCCGGCAGATGCGAAGTCACCATCTTGTAGTACTGGCCGTCTCTCTGGAAATCCTGGAGGGGCTTCTCAAAAAGGCGCCATGGTTCGTATACAATTTCTTCCAGCCGTGGAAGTTTTTCCCATATTTGCTGCAACGTGGGCGGCGTCCACTGCCGACGACATTGTCGGCCAAGAAGGAATTTGGTGACCGCCTGTACTTGGGGAAGTTGCCTGTAGAATTTGATATTAATACCCCCGTAGATTCGTCGTATCGCCTCCTTTGGAGGCAGTGAGACCCGTTTGCCTTGAACCCAGCCATGGTCCGGATCATCAATCTCGTTGGTGCTTATCGGTAGACCTGAATCGAGAAGCCTGTCCTCTTCCAAGGTTCCAAGGTAACATGCTTTCAACCAGTGTTCTTTATCGCTCGTCGAATATGCATTAAGCTCAAGTGTGAGCCCTTCCCGAGTCGGTTCCCAGGTACTGAGTTTGGAAAATAGCTTGCAAATGGCCCGAGTGGCAAGTTTGTTCTGGTTCCGTCTCCCCGTTTCTGATTCCAACCGCTTACAGCATATGCAGGTATAAGTCGGAAGCTCGATATCCAAGCAAATATGTCGAACTAATCCTCGTTGGTGCTCGGTTATCTGATCGAGTTCATCAAGACAATTCTCCTTGAGCTTTAGGCGATGAAAGGTGCTTTTCTCGATCACGGCCTGCCATTCCCTAGAAACACTTGCGTAAGAAGCCTTCTGAGGATGCTTTCCTAGTTCTTCCAGGATCATGGCACGGACCTCCGGTGGTAAATAATCCCAGGTCGACATATTTGGGGAAGTCACCAGCTGCCTCGCTTCGCTTATGTAGCAAGCAATCTTTCACCCCGGATTCCAAGGGCGATAAACTGATTTGAATGGATCCAGCAGAGGTGAAGAGTGTCTTGGACTTTAAGCAACATAAACCCATCTGGGCAACGTGTTCTTCGTTTTATTTTAAATCTTATTACTTCAAGATACCCAGCCTTCAGAATAATAAGGTTCCGTACCAAAAACTTTTATGCTAAGCGAGATATTGTGGAAAGAAAACACCGTGTTCAACCCCAGTGCAAATAGTGACAATAAGAAATGGAAGTGGCGGCGCCCGCCCCTAAGTATCACAGTACAATTCATACAATATGGGGGCCTGCATCTCTTGTATTTAGAGTTTACCTACCTATGTCTGTCGATATAGAGTTCCAATTAAGCGAGCCGTGGTCAACGAAAAAAGGTCGTATTCGCCAGCATGACGCTCCCTCAAGTGACCTCTGACATCAAACGCCGGAACCTCAAGTGTTAAATCTTGATACAATATTTGATCTAGTAATAGCCACAATATTCAGCTAAACATTGTAGAACAATTTATCATTTTTCTTATTCTGATTATTGTGTTTAGTGTTATTAATAAGAAAATAAAGGGCCCCCCTTGATGAACCACGATCATCGTCATAGCCGCAGAAGCTTGTTCCGCAACCGATCTTCCAACGCGCACGAACATAAGACCAATAAAAAACGGTACCGCAATTCCTGCCTCCGAGTCAACCCCTCTTCTAAACGTCGTCCTCGATCCCTGAATAACATGGCATTGGTCGCCCAGAAGGACACAAATTGACACAGAATAGCTCAGCTTGGAGTTGGAGCCCTAGTAATTTCTGGCTTTTTGTACCGGCAGTCAAAGCTGGCCATGAGCGTATCCCAGCCAATCGCACTCAGGTCCCATTTGTTTGGGTATCCGTAGTCGACAGCCCCAAACGTGCACCCCGTGGGACTCTTGCACACCACCCCGCAATCCATCAGGCGCGGGAAGCACTCGAAGCCGTTGTTGTCCGGGGCGAAGGTTGTGACGTTGTGGTAGTAGGGCTCCTTGAGCTGGTTGCAGGCCCCCATCGTGTATGTATCCCACGTGCAAATGCCGGTCCCGCGTGCTTCGGTACAAATCAGGAGCTTTTCATCTCACATGTTAGCATACTCTATTGCAAGATTAATAGGAGAATGGGGGTGGAAAATGACGTCGAGGGTTTTCACTTACACCGCCAACATCGTTTGGTAGAGAGCTGTTGCCTGCAGCGATCGGCAGGAGGGGCATGGCAATGGTGAGTATTGGGAGTCTCATTCTGTCTGGAGGTGTGCGAAATTGAATCTGGTTGAGATATTGAGTATTGAAAATCAAAGATAACTGGGAATTGTTGGGCAAGCAGCACGGGCATTATGATTTATCTTGGCGTGGGAAGGCATTACTAGGTATCTTTTATATTTGATGGTGACACTGAGTTGAGCAGGGATACAGGAGCCACGGGAGAGACCTGACGTAACTCGGCAGGTAACTGACTACGTAGGCATTGATAGCCGTTTCACACACCTCTTAGCCAATAGACTGTTGCCAGACTGGGTTGTCTTGGCCGAAGACCTAGGTCAATATGCTCGTCTGCCGTTACTCGAGCGTTCCCCGAGTCTCCGGTCCCATGTGGCAACCCTGACCACGTGCTTCACAGCCGCCAACCATCCGACACAATTGCACCCATCCAGTGCTATCAAGCATCCGGCTCCAATGCCGGCTTGTAGCCTTGTGATCCGTATCCTTAGTCTTCGGTCGGTGCGAGGACGAGGGGGAAACGCGACAAGAGAGGCTGCACGCAACGGAGAACATCGAGAGAGCTCTTGAAAACCCAATTATCCGTCTGTTGATTTCTTTTAGTCTTCCACTTCCACTATCATAGGTAGATAAGTCAAGTATAAACGCCACGCTCATGCAAAGTCAGTGATAATCTCCCTCCTGATATATGCGAGCCGTGCCCAGGTCGGTGCATGATGCCAGAGCCCAGAAATGGTACTTCTCCTATATAGCCCATGAGAAGAGAATCGTAGGATCGCACCACCATCGCTAGCTATGGGAACCCAAGCCGGCAGCAACTATCCCGTGCCATAATCATTGGAGGAGTTCTTCGCAGGTCCAATCCTCGTAGCTACTCATGGTTAGCCCAGCCGTATATATACTTGCAGCACTCGCGCGCCTAAAGATTGCACTCACTATCCATCAGGGAGATACCGTCGCACGATCAGAGGGATCTTCTTCTCTCGGAGTTCCTTGATCGCAATCTGCAGAGGATCGGTTTCGCCCTCCAAGTCGACCAGCACGGGCGCATTCATACTAAGAGCCAACCTTTGTTAGGAAAACTCTCCACCTCGTATGGCATCCCAGGTTTATCCAAGTTACGAACCTAATCTGTAGAGCGCGTGTGCCTAGGATACGCGCACGCTCATACTTGGTCATGTATGGAGTGGTGTTGCGCTCGGCCTCGGGGATCTTCTTGTCCTTGACTGACTTTTCTCCGTTCTTCACGGCGTTGGCAACGGCAGACGGGTCTCCCGAGAGCACAACGTTATCCTGCTCGTCGCCGTTCTCGCCCTGGTTTACCTCGTCGTCGCCATTCTGGACCTCCGGCTCGAAGTAGTCGTTCATCTCATCCTCCTCGTACATGGTGTCGTCGCTGCGCAAAGACAAAAGACGGGTCAGTTGGACGGCGCGCAAAATGACTTGAATGCCTGGCATCGCAGCATTGGAGCATCCGTGGGAAACTTACACGCCAGCTCCACCATCGTCATCTCCAAAGTCAGACATGATTGCGGTTATATCAATTCCGTGGGGCGCAAGGTTCTATCGGGGAAGGATGTCGCGTGGTTGAGATATGATGCAAGTGGAAGTGTTGCGCGCGCGAAGCTAAGCATCCAAGGAGGAAAAAAAAAGATCGAACAAAGGCCTTCGGTGAACCGCCTAAGAGTGGGTCCTCGACATCTTACCGAAGCTCACCGATAAAGTCGTCACCCACCCCGGTAAAAAATTATAGATCCATGCAGCTGTAAGAACTCACCGCTTAAAATATTCTGGATTCTGCCAAATGTGAGCATCCTTCAATTACCTAGCCATCGACCCACAATGGTGTATCGAGAGTTCAGATTCTCAATGCCAGCAAAATGTCGAAAAGAATTGCGAGCAGTTCTGCTCTCCAGGAGCCTCCATTGAAAAAGCTGCATCTCGACGTCGACATTCCCTCCGCTTACCCTGACCCCTCGAGCGCTCAATTCACCAATCTAGAGATCCACGATGACGACAGGACGACGGCTCAGACGCCCAGTTCCATGAACGATGCCGAATCGCCAGTCACGGCTGCCACCACCCCCCGCGCCAAATTCCCCTCCGACTACAAGACACTAGCATGCACCTGGCCCGGGTGCCCCAAAACCTTCAATCGTCCTGCCCGGCTCAGAGACCACCTGAACTCCCACACAAATTCCCGTCCGTTCAAGTGCCCCTACGACGACTGCGACAAGGACTACACCGTCGACAAACACCTGAAGCAACACATCAAGGCAGTCCACACCCAGGAGCGGAAGCACGTCTGCCCCCGCGAGGGCTGCGGCAAGAGCTTCGTTACTGGCACCAGGTTAAAACGCCACCAAGCCGTCCACGAGGGTGAAGAACGGTTCAGGTGCCAAGACTGCGGGCAGAGCTTCCGGAAGAGGGAGACGCTGAACAAGCATGTCCGAAAAGAGCATCAGAATCTCGCCGCCTATCCCTGCACAGAGCCCGACTGCACAGTGGCATTCGATACTAAGTCCTCATTAAAGCGTCACCAGCAGCGTGAGCACGGAGAGGCCAATTTCTGGTGCCACGAGTGCGGGGTGAAGCAAAACGAAGACGGGACCGAGTCTAGAGTCGGCTTCACGACAGAGGTGCTACTCCAGGCCCACCTGAAGCGCGAGCACCAGAACTGCATGTTCTGCGACTTCAAGTCCACCACGCAGGGAGAGCTAGAGAGACACGTCGAGTTCCACCACTCAGGCAAGACCGTGGAGGATCGCAAGAACAAGGTCTGCCCCTACCCGGACTGCGGGAAGAAGTTCACCACCCAGTCCAACTGCAACAGCCACATCCGCGCCGCCCACGAAGGCCAGCGCTTCGTCTGCGGCGAGGTCGAGCTCACCGGCTCAGGACTCGAAACGTGGTCAAACGACCAGGGATGCGGCGACAAGTTCTCCACCAAGGCACGCCTCGAGGACCACGTACGCTACGTCCACCTCTTGCAGGAACGGCCGAAGCTCTCCGCCCCCGTCCGCGAAAAACCCCCGCCGTCGCCGGACGCCGTCTTTGACGACATCGCCGGCATCGCCAACATAGCAAAAGCGAGCATCACCTGCCCCCACTGCCGCGAGGCCTTCATCCGGTACGGGGATTTGGACTCCCACATTGAGAAGTACCACGCCAGGCGCAGCACCAGCACCGACGCCAATGACATACTCGGCGGCGACGCCCAGAAACTCTCGGACCCGTCAATCTTTGAGCAGGAGTTCCCATCCAACTGGCCTGAGGAGATGGACCAGGAGGAAATCTTCGCAGCAGAAATGGACTACGGCCCGCCCCAGGATGACTGGGCCGAAGACGAAGCAAACATTCTTCTTCTGGCTCGGGATACTCCAGATCTAGACGCAAGAATCGACCCTGCCCTGGAGGCCATCTAACCATTCACATCTAGAGAAAACCCCTATGTCTCGGGAGAATCCTTGGAACATTTTTACAAATTATACCAACTGGGGCACATGTAAAGCCCATGTACGACTAAAAAGGTCTTTTACGATTATAATGACAGGACAAAAGCGAATGGTTGATTTAGATGGAAAAGTTGAGACTAAAGTACTCAATTGTCATAATCATGGTATTCTTTTAATCATGATATTCCTTGATTTGAAGGTGTCCTCAATCCAGTAGTAGTCTCTAGCAAGACGAGAAGGTAACA